GGCTTCTGCCCCGCTGTGCCGCCTGCGCACCAGGCACGGGTGCGAGGGACAGAAGAAGTAGGGAAAATCAGAGCATCTTCTGATCCTTCTAGCTAATATTAGAAGGGAGAAGGAGCTGAGGTTGGGAGCTGAAGGCTGCGTCCGCAAGAGCTGGAGATGTTTGCGTCGCGCTGTGCGTTGGTATGGTTTCTCTGGTGATTAATGAACTTTGTTAAGAACTGTTGCAGGGTAGGTGAGAAGGCGGCTAAAAGCGTGCGACGTCAGCGCTAGCATTATTGCAAACACAGCGTTAACCAAAAATGAACGGTGCAGCAACTTCTTCAGGCCTGGGGTTCGGGGGTAATTTCAGCCCTGCGCCCCACCCTCCAGCCGCCTTGTTTGGCCTACTTCAGGGACAACTGCGCTCGCTCTCGGCAGGTTTTGGGTTGTAAGACTGCCCTATTTTCAGTGTTGCTAGAGAGGCAGTTGAAGCCAGTTGCACACAAGTTTGGCCGGTTTCCAGTTCCTTTCCTGCTGTGGTGTTACACTGATCTGTAATGCCCATACCATAAAAATCTAAAGTCTTATCCTTTGCCCGTATTTCCCTTCCTTGACAGGCCCCACAGCACTTAGCTACAATCCAGTAGGTGCAGGTTTCTATCGGTCTGTTAACATTTGTTTTAAATTATAAACAAAACATTAAAATCAAAACCTAAACTGATGAGAGTCTGCCTTCTTATTTGATCCTGGAGCAACGTCATGTATGTGCCCAACCTCATTTCTACCCTCAGGACTAATGCAACTGATGAGACAATTCCCATGTTTTACAATAGCAATCAGCAATTAATACAAAGAATATAATTGCAATTAACTATAGGCTGGATAAATCAGTGTGGCGATGCATCAGTCTGTGGGGATCATCCTCTAAAGCTGTGGCACGGCAATGGTGGACTGTAAATGTTTGTGTTTCCAAGCCAGCCTCTTGATTTCTCCATTAGTAAGTGTAACCTCTGTTGACGCTATTGATACTCTCCAGAATCCCGTGGATGCTCTTGAAATCTGTGTTTTCCATTAACACGTCATCTTCCTTCCCCATTAACTCCCAAGGCATTGTTAAAATTTAGCGGTTCGAACTGGTATTTAGTTATATCATGCTTTGCCTTTACAAGTCCCTTCATCTCCTGTAAACACAGTATATTTGCACTAATGAAGGGGAAAATGACTTCCAAAATGCCACACAAATACATAAAAGCTGATACCACACGCATGACCATTGCTATTTTCCTCTGTTCTTGGCAGCTGTTGCCGCTGTTCTTGCCGCACCTTGAATATTACTTAAAGCTTGAAGAAATCTTGGCTGTTCTTGCCGCACCTTGAATACTGTGTTCAGTTTTGGGCCCCTCACTACAAGAAGGACGTCGAGGTGTTAGAGCGTGTCCAGAGAAGGGCAACGAGGCTGGTGAGGGGTCTGGAGAACAAGTCTTATGAGGAGCGGCTGAGGGAACTGGGGTTGTTTAGCCTGGAGAAAAGGAGGCTGAGGGGAGACCTCATTGCTCTCTACAACTACCTGAAGGGAGGCTGTAGCGAGGTGGGTGCTGGTCTCTTCTCCCAAGTAACTGGCGATAGGATGAGAGGAAACGGCCTCAAGTTGCGCCAGGGGAGGTTTAGATTGGACGTGAGGAAAAACTTCTTTACTGAAAGAGTGGTTAAACATTGGAACAGGCTGCCCAGGGAAGTGGTTGAGTCACCATCCCTGGAGGTATTTAAAAGACGTGTAGATGAGGCGCTTAGGGACATGGTTTAGTGGGCATGGTGGTGTTGGGTTGACGGTTGGACTCGATGATCTTAGAGGTCTCTTCCAACCTTAATGATTCTATGATTCTATGATTCTATGTTGTTTTGTGCATGTACTGTACCTGCAACACTGCTGTGTTTAATGTCACAAACACGAGGTGGTGATAATGCTCTGCAGTGGGAAATGCAGCCTGGCTGGTAACATCAGCTGGCAACACCCCGTAGTCAAAATTGCCACCAACAGTAAATGGCAGTGGCCAAATAGGACATGGGCATCTTGTTTGTGACACTGAAAAGTTTTCTGTGGTATTCATATGCCCTGCTTATGTCTTGGCTCTGATGGTCTTGATACCATGGTTAGTCAGCCATTTATCCTAAAGATAAAGATTATGTCTATGGTATCTTGCTCCATGTTAGGAGTTTTATGCGTCATACACAGACCCCTGAGCACAAGTAACACGGGGTTACTTGTGCTGATACCGGTTTTGTGGTGCTGAACCACAAGACACGTGCAGGCATGCTGAACATGGGGCTGGCTGTGGTGTAACCTGTAAAAGCGAAGCGCCTCCGCTCCCGATGGGGAAAGAGCCATTTCTGCTGTGTTTTGCTCCTAAGCGCTTTCTGTACAATTTTCTCCTCCTCTGCTACACTGAGAGACATTTTTTCCAAATTGCACTGCGAGGAATAGCGCAGTCCCTCCACTGCGCAGGCTTTTATCAGTGCTAAGCTTTCCTTACATTATACTGGTATCTGCTCCAGGACCTGATGCTATGTAGAGGCGAGTTGTTGCATTTTAGCTGGCATACTGTTTACCCAGCAGCACTGATGATTGTAACGAGCCTTTCTCCCTTTGGTTTCTTGCCCACCTTTAGGCACTTTACTGAGTCCCCATGTGCCCTTGACCTGGCTTCTAGGGGCCTACAGGCATCCATCCGCCTTTGACCTGACTTTAAGTAATGCCTCTCCAGTTTGGACTTTGAGTATTGCCATATCTTCTCATAGCAGTTTTCTGTGGGGAATTTAACAGTCTTGGTGTTGAGCCTCATAAGAACAACAGTTAAGCTCCATCCTTAAAGACATCGGGTGTCCAAAAGTAATGGACATGGAACGGGGGAGGAGAAACAATCTCATCTTCATTTGAGACCTGGATTTGATGCCTGTCAATGTCAGGGGAAGCTGTTGGGCCTGCAGCCTTTCAACTCGTTTATTTTAAAGCCCAGTTTGTTCTTTCTCCTTGTCCAGAGGCCTGGAGATGGTACCGCACACGCCAACCACCATGTCTGAATGCTCTGAGATGCCAGCTGCATCACATCTCCCATGATGACAGGGCCTTGGCCAGCATCACTTATCTGTCCAGCCCCGTATCAGGTAAACACTACCTTAACAGCAGCGTCTTCATACAAAATCTTTATCTATCCTGGAAATACCTCTGTCACTACTAAAAAATATCTCTGTCCTCCTTTGGTTTGGGGTAGTTTATCAACATATATAATCCACCTGGGGCCAGGCATAGGGATCATCTTTTCTTTGATGTTACAATGGCAAAAACCTCCTCTTCCTAGGCCTTAGTTACTGCCTAACTACTCCGTAAGCAACATGGGCTGTTTGTGCTCCCCGTTTTAACTCTTGCTTGAGGTCCTCATGCTCCTCCCTTTTAACACCCATGAATTAGAACAATTCTTTTCTTTTTCAAAAGTCCCCTTTCCTCCTCATTCCTGTTTTTTATTTCTCTTGACTCGACACCATGCCCTGCTCACCAGCACCGTTCCCGAGCTTTCAGAAAGGAGAGCCTTCACAGCCCTGCTGTCCACCACAGGCCCCCCCTCTGG